AACTTATTTTTAGATTTTGTAATTAAATACATGTATTAAGTACTTTTTAAAATGTCATAACTGCTAAAGTTTTATTTTATGGTTAAGCTACCACAATGTAAAAAAATAAGTGTACAAATATTGTACTGACAACCCTAGTTTCCCGCCATTGTCACCAGTGACATTTGACCCACGCATGCACAATGGAAGTCGCGACCCGAGCCACTTTACAATTTACATACAATGTTGGAAAAATTGTCAACACCAAACCAACCACAATTTTAACAATGAATTTGGTTGTACCTTGAATTTAGTTGCTTCATTTTTGGGAATTATCCATTAACGTGTTAGAAGAAATTCTTTAACAAAACACATTGTTTAAAAAAAGTAACACATTGTGCCAAATAAATCTTAAATGTTTAATTGTTTCATCTTATGTCAAAAAAGTTACAAACAATCTGGCCTATTAGTAGCATAAAATTAATTTGAACGTCATAAAACCGAGTTAATTGTAGTTGTGTCTTATATATATTATTAAAGCTCTATTTAATTACTTTATTGATTTAATCACAATTCTTTCAAAGTGCTTGTAAATTTTATGTTCTTAAAATCACAGCGCTGTTTATATTACAGTATCCATCACGTCACACTTTATAAACAGTCAGTCTCGGCCATCTTGATGTTTATAAGCAGCTTTGTTATTCGATTGGTGCATTACGAAGCGTACCTAATCGTATCGCGCGATCATTGGCCCTTCCTAGTTTGAAATTAGAACCCGTGGGTTGATTTCAGGCGGGAGTTTTTACGTTAGTTGTCAATCAACGAACAACGTTGAAATGGATGAGGCAACACCTTTGAAATTTGATGTTATTTTAAAATAAATGTTTACTGCGTATGATTTTATGTTGTCCGTGACTCCACTCCACTATTGTTTCACAATTTTTTGACCTCCGACGTTTATTTATATATTAAACTAATGAATGTAATGAATCTTAAATAAATAGAAACGTATTAAGTGATCAAACATAAATGTAAATACGATATACGAAACATATTATTAGTGTCTAGATCCGCCAACACGGATACGGAAGTCAGGCACGTCACTAATATGCAACTAATTTATAAATCTATATTATTTTGGAGTGTCTGTACGTTCTGTAAAGAAATAATATTTTTTTATTAAATCATATCTGAGTGTTTTTTTTCACAAAAAAAAAAACAATTTTGTAATTTTGTTGTCTGTTTGTGTGGGCTAATGTCCAGAACGGGTGGATCGATTTACAACTGACTTTTATTAGCAGCTAGCTGATGTCACATGAAGTAGGTACTTTAGGCTTCTTTAATTTTGAAAAAAAGAATTATGATTCCACGCAAAAAAAATGAACAAGTGAGTGAAATCGCGGGCACAGCTAGTTTATTAATAAGTCTGTAGGTCAATAGTTTCACCAAACACTTTACGTTTTGTTTTTATAATATTATTTCATTAGCAAGATTAAGTAATGAGGACCGGTACGAATGGGTACTTAAGCTACGTTTAGGAAGGCAGCGCTATTAGGTATGTGACAGGCTTTATATTAATTTAATTGATTTTATTGCACTTAAAATGTATGAATGTAATGGAATGTTATAATTGACATCCTTTCTTAGAAGGTTTATTTACCATTTTTGTCTACACTTGTTTTATATAGTTTTTAACCTTAAACCAACATCAATGCGAAAAAGTTTTAATAAATGATGTTAAGTTAGTAAGTAATCCTCATCTTTTTTTTTTAAATTTATGAATATTGAGTACAACCAACAATAAATTAAATCTGGTTCACAAATATCTAAGATTTAAAAAATAACAACTTTTTCTTTGCAGACCTAACTGTCTTTGTAAACGCATTTGATTTAAACAAATATATCCGTGTTGCTCTAAATTAAAAAGTAATAAATTTAAGCATTGTTGGTAGAGACGTGCTCAGAAAAACTACAAAAAAATCGAACCTACTCAATATTCAAAAGTGCAATAATTATTTATATTACGGCTCGTTCGTGCCATTGTTTATATCTTTTTATATATAATTTTACGAAAGAGCGTGTCATTACAGGCCTGAGAACAGGTCGTCATTTACCAAAATTGTGCACGTCATTCAGTGCAAAATCGCGAAGGCTATTTCGTTACCAAGATGGCTGTCACACGATTATCTTTGCATCGTAATCTGCACACGAACCTTATTACAGAAGTTTGTAGGAAAATAATCTTCGTTGTTTATGCAATAGCCTTTATTCATATAATTTTGTGATGACGTCCGTGACATAACACCAGAAACCCTTTTACTATTGTTATTTACTTATGTTAATTCATCGTCTGCCTACCCTTATCCCAATTATTTTTGAGGTCGGCGCAGTAAGTATGATTCTTCCATTCTAATCTATAATTCATCATCTCACTGTTAACTCCCTTCCTATCCATATCCTTACTCACACAGTCCATCCAAGGTGGATGGACTGTGTGAGTAAGGACGTGTGAGTTCTTTGGTCTTCCTCTTCTCTTGTACGCCTCAACTTCCATACCTAACACTTTCTTCGCCACATTTTCCTCACCCCTATGTATGACATGTCCATACCAAGATAATCAATTTTTTGAAAGACAATTCCCGCATTAGGAATATATATTGTGTCGCGGGGGACCTTACAAACATACATGAAAAGGACACAAAGAACACCCAGACTCAGAACAAAAATTTGTGGATCACACAAAGTGTCGTCCTATGTGGGGACGGGACCCACAACACTCAACGTAGTAGTAGTGAGCGGTAGTATTACTTCTTAACTTTTTATCCAGTGGCGCTACATTCAGACTCACTCGTACGTACTCATTCCTAACCTTGTCCATCCGAGTCACACCACATATCCATATCAGCATTCGCATTTCGGCTACGTTCAGGCGTGCCTCATTCGCATTTCGGCTACGTTCAGGCGTGCCTCATTCGTTCTCTAAATGTGCCGACATTCAGAACTATACAGGACGGCAGGTCTGATGATAGTTTTATAAATTTGTCCCTTCAGTGTTAAACGGAAACTGGGGTCACAAATTGTTTAAATACTGACTTTATTGTAGTCAAATAACAACACTGAAAAAAAATATTACTAAATTTTACAAAGTCGTTAGTTAAAAAATATTTTTAATCTGTTTAAAAATGTTACTCAATGCTAAGACTCAATGAATACAAGCGAATGTTTCAAATTGACAGAGGATTTATACGTTACTGTCTCTATCTTGTCTTATCGTTAGTGCTATCTTTCGTCTAACACCATTTTCTTTTTACCACATATATTATGAAACACTTTTGTTGTAATTAATGTTTTCTTGCTTTATATTACTTTGTGTTTCGCGATTGTATGTTATAATAAAGTTTATCTTATATTTAAGTGGGTGGTGGGTATGTAATAATATTATTAAATTGATTAATGTTAAAATACTGAGAGTGAAGCTATTTTAAGCTTGTTGGTCTAGTGGTTAATGACACTGACTGCTAAGCAGGAGGTCGTGGGTTTGATTCCCACCCAGGCCAAATAATTGTGTGATGAGCACGATGATTTGTTCTATGTCTGGGTGTAATTCATCTATAATACTTAAGTATGTTTATCAGCAGTCTGGTTACCATAGTACAGGCTCTGCCTAGTTTGGAATCAGACGGCCGTGTGTGAGATATGTGAAGTTATTATTATTATTATTTAGCTGTTAGTTTTTATCAGTTACTAATTTTCATAACAGCCCAATCAGTCTACGTGTAAATTGCACAATTTGGTGTTGACGCAGTCAAAATCACGGTCAATAGGGTTGGCAGACGTCAAACTGACAGCCAATGTCAGCCATATTGATATAGATGTCAAAAAAGCGCGCGTACCTAAACGTTTAATATTTGATTGAAATGGCTACTTTTTTTAAATTATTTATAAAACTAAACGTTAGAATTATAATTAATCTTTGATATACAGTAATTTTAACGAAGCATCTAAATATAAACATTTAAATAGATATATTTACATACTGTTCGGTTCTTGTTTATAAATTTTACTATTGAATTTTCAAGCACTATTAAACATAAGTATAAATATTGCACTGACAGTTAAGTAGACTATGAAATGTGCATTTTTTCATAAACTGGAAACTTAAAAAACTTAAAACGACAAGCCAAACGAATTTGATTAATTTTTTATTTACAGCAAATGTTTTAAATAAAAAATTGTATTCGGTGTGCATTGCACTTTTTTTTTATTAAGTGTCTTGTGTAATAATAAAAAAAAATTAGTACGTGATCAGTGCACCAGTGAGCGTTGCAAAAAATAAAATGGATCACTGTGCTGTCAATTCTAAGATATAAAAAAAACTATTTCTCCACATGTAATTGGTAACCCTTGGTCGGCGGTTGACACGTCAGCTATTAGATGACTGTCAATTTTGACATAACCACAGAGAAAATAACACGACGTGTGTTATTTTTCTCTGTGGTTTCTGTAGTAGGTACGGTAACTTGTAAGAAATCATCACACAATACCTACATTTGATTTCCAAGGGCTGCTTCTTCCACTTCTAGTATCTACCTATTTCCTTAGTTTGTATATTGGAATTTTCTCGTTCCATATTCAAACAATTAAGTCAATCATGCAATCGCAAAATCAATTAAAAAAAAACTAGTTAAGTGTTTTTAAATAAATCAGAATTTAAAAGTAAATAATTTTAATCTTTAAACACATTTTTTTTTATAATCGGCAATTTAATAAGTATGGACTTAAATAAAGTTTACATGCCGCGATGTCGGAATACCAAGAGTGACTTAATCACGATGGGGTTCATTTGATATTTTTTAAGATGAGCAGTTAGTACGCTCTTTTCTTGAAGGTTTGAAGGTCGTACAGGTCCGAAAATACCGCAGACGATAACTTGATCTAAAAAGGAAAGACTTTGTACACAAAACAGTAATGAAATGCAATAACAAAATCTATCATCAATCTTTTCATCATTTATTAACCCTATGTACGTATCGTTTCAGATCATCGGTGAACGCGAGTATGCTGTGCGGCCGACAAGACGACCTTCAGAAGAGTTACAGACTGGACAACCATTGGATGTGATAGTACAACAGGTAAATGTTTCTATATCTTATTATTTTTGATTATTGACTTTCTGAGCAAATGCACTGCGTTTATGGGGACTTCTCCGCTTTTGAGGTTCAGAGCGGCGCGGAACTAGGCCTATCCGACACACAGTTTGAAAGCTTATTTACCCCAAAAAAGGTTTTAACTTTACTCAACTACAAGTGAGTATATGTATGGCACGTTTTGTAACAGGCGTTAATAAAAAGAACGTCACTAGTTTTTGGAAACCATTGCATATTTTCCTTAATACCCGACATAACCATTTAGTGAAGTAAAAATAGGTACTATAAATGAACACGGAAGCTTACTACTAACACAAACACTTAAGTTGGTAACTGTTAAACCTTTAAATGTTGCTACACAAAAAAAAACAAGTATTTATTTTAATACTCTTAAATATATTCTGCATGAAGGTTATAATGTATATATATATATTTCTACTCATTTCAACAACCTTTTGTACACGTAAAGTGTCAACATTCCAAATATTATTTTATTTGTGTATGATACGACATAATATTATTCATAATAATAGATATTATTTTCATTCATCGATTAGAGTGGTAATCATAGACATAATATTATTTTTATAACAGATTGCCCGCTGTTAATTGAGTTTGCGACAAATGTCTATTTTTTCATTCTCATTGGAAGATTTTCTTCAAGAGGCTCTTTGGTCTAAAATATTCCAATTCCAATGCCCATGTCTTCCTAGGCTTGAATTGTTTATTGAAGGTCATAATTTAAACCGGTTGCTGCAGCGCTAGCATGTGACAATAAATAGTTGAGATGGGGAAGCAGCAGGTACTTAGGGTACCGAAGATGATTGCATGAAGCACCGTTTTCTTTTTAGTAGGGTTACTGTACTAAAACTATAAACTAGCTGCAGACTCAATCATAATAATAATTTTCAAAGCAGGATAACAATGGCTGTTTTAGTGTCGGTGTTAGAGTCACTGTGGAGAAGGACATAAGTGTTTAAAAGTCCTTGAGATTTATGACCGAATCAGCGAGTAAATATTGTCAAGTGTAGTTGACGTAAGGTCAAAGGAATGAAATAAAAAGGGGATTAGGTAGAAAATGTTAAAGTAACTTGTATATTGTGAGTTATGAATTTATGACAGACTTTCTCATAAAAATCTATTTAGCCAATTTTTAAAGTTAATCGTTCTCTTCATCTCTGCGTTACCTAACCCAAGTGTTGTTTTATAATGAAGTGTACATTTGTTTAATACATGGTACATTGCATAGGTACAGGTACAGTACATAGGTACAGTGCATAGAAGTCATACGTCACAGTTTATTACATGCCATAAAACATAGTATCATTTATGTCAATTGAACACTAAATTTAACTATCGTGTCATTTTAACTGCTGCTATTAAATTTTTAGATATGGGTCTTCTGGGTTAAAAGCCAGCCAAGCTATTATTAACAGGCCTGTTGGTTAAGGATCCTGACTGCTAAGAGGTCGTTGGTTTCGATGCCCATCCAGGACAAATAATTAATGTGATGAGCACGTTCATTTGTTCTGTGTCTGGGTGTCATCATCAGCCTTTATTAGTCCACTGCTGGAGATAGGCCTCTCCTTAGAAAGGAGGCCTACTAAACCACGCTGGTCAGACTGGTTGGTATAGGGTTTGTTTTAAGTTTTGAAGAGATGAATAGGAGTGGTGACACTCCGCATTCTTAATCCGTCACCACACATATTGTCCGTGATACGCATTTAGAAATATTTAAGTACATTTATCAGCATTCTGGTTATCATAGCACAGGTCTTGCCTAATTTTGGATCAGACGGCCGTGTATAAGGTGGGTCAAGTTATTATTATCCATAAAATACTGTTTCTGAGGAATGGAAAAATTAGTTTTAACCGCGGGTAGAAGCTGCTAGTGTAGCAATAAATACTGAGTTTAAATGTAAACATGTTTTGACTAGCATGTGTTTAAGCGCCAGTAAATGCAAAAAACTTGTGGTAACACAGCTATTATTATTTCCGTGTAGTCTAGAAAAGCGTAAGAACAGGTATTTTGAGACGAAATCGGCTAATGTCCTTATAATTAAATGTTGTTTTTAACTGTTAACTTTATGCCAAAAGTTTATGCATAAAGATACTGTGTTTACATATAATTGATTAGTAAATTACTCGTGATGTGACGTAACGATTCAGTTGGTCACCACCTCCACCACAATTCATCCCGTGGGTGACGAGAGCTGACTCAAGGAGCAAACTACGCATAACAAAAGCACTGCAAAAAGAAAAAAAAACTTCAAACAAACCCTATACCAAACCGTCTGGTCAGCGTGGCATAGTAGGCCAAAACCTCTCAAAAAAAAACAATTGTCTTTAAAGCATCCATTTGTCTTCTTTTCTTTGTCATTTGTCTTTCTTTGTTATTTGATATATTGCCACCTTACAATCGAAACCTTATAAAAGCGTACGACTCGAAACATGTTGCGTCTAGTGGTCAGTAATGCAACAAAACAACAGTTTCTTAATATCCGTCTTCCAACGACGCAGTGAAAGTTCCATTACAGCGTGTTCCATAGTTTTATACGTTCGTTGATGAGTGCCGCGGTTTGCAAACTGGTAAAAAAACTAGTATTAAACGTTGTTCTACAACAAACGACCATGCTAGGTAACTTTTATGTAAAATTAATGTTATTCACAAAGAAAGATATCGCGGTCAAAAGTAGGTTTGGCTACTCGCTGTTGATGTAGCTTTCCATGCATGGTGAAAAAATTTTTAAATTCGGTTTAGGCGTGAAAGCGTAACAAATAAAGACACAAACGAACAAACTTGTTTTCACATTTGTAAGAATGGAAGTATGGATATTATTACAGTTTATTACTAATATACGCTATTTTTATCGTACGTATATACACTCACGCTTAAATTCGCGAAGAGGTACCCAGAGACGTATTAAACGCTCATATTTTGCCTATAACTTTAGTCCCACTTCCATACCAAATAGGGAGCAAGCATATTCGTCAACTGGTCAAAAGACAATAGATGAGAATATTGAAAGTAAATATATATTGCTTAGGTATACGGATCGATTTGGCTCGAGTAAGTAAAGACGTGCAGGAAGCCATAATTCTTTAAACAATATATGTATGCATAACAATTAAAATTATGTAAAAAGCGGTCTCATCAAACTATATGCATTCACTGGTCATTTTGCCGTTTCATGGTGAAAAAAGTCTATACAATGAAAGTTCAAGTTATACTGGCTGGTCAGTTAGCATACGAGTATCTATAACACGAATTGCGTATTGCCTGAATGTCATCATTATTATCATCATCAACGACCTTTAATAGTCCACTGCTGGATACAGGCCTCTAATTAGAAAGGAGGTTTTGGCCTACTATACCACGCTGGCCACACGGGTTATTATAGGGTTGGTGTCAAGTTATCCTTGTGCTGTAATGTTGTCATGCATAGTTTGCTCCGTCAGTCGGCTCTTACGATACATACGGAATTAATAATAGGGGTGGTGACGCTGTGTAGAAATTCTTAATCCACCACCACACGGACTATCAACACAGACAAGACAGACAAGACTTAAACCAACAGTAACTAATTGCCGCAAAGTTTAAGTCTTGTCTGCCATCTATACCAACTAATATAATACCTAAACTATTAGACCGATTCGTATGTTTTTATTTATTTGATAAAATCGCTAATGAGGACAAATACTTAAACATCACGCTGGGATCAAGACCATGAATATAATTCGGTGTAATTTATCCAAAATATGTACGTATTTAAATTAAAAAAAACCGGTCAGGTACGAGTAGAAGTCGTGCGCCGAGGATTCCGTGCCTACCCAGATTTTACGTAGATTTTCGCGTAAATTTGTTAGTACCAAAATTTATCTTAATTTTCAATTTTTTTGGAATTATTGCTTTATTTGTGCTGTAAGACGTGTCTTTTTGCCAAATTTCGTGATTCTAGGTTAACGGGAACTACCATATAGGGTTTCGACCCAAAACCTATAGGGTACTTCCGGTTGACCTAGAATTGTCAATTTTGGTTAAAAGCAAGGTCTTACAGCATAAGTAAAGAGAAAATTCTGAAAAAAAACATTGAAAATAAAGGTAAATTTTTGTACTTACAAGTTTTCACGAAAATCGAAATTTGCTCATATCTTTTTATTTTGTTGACTTAAGACCTTGATTTTTATACACCTAATAGGGATCATAGACCTCATTATCTGGTATAAATTTCAACTTGCTAGGTCTACCCGTTCCTGAGAAAATCGGTGGTGACACACGGACAGACGGACAAGAAAGTGATCTTATAAGGGTTCCTTTTTTACCTTTTGAGGTACGGAACCCTAAAAATCGATCTAAGTGGCGTGCAATGGGAGAGGGCTATGTCCAGCAGTGGATTGCGATAAGCTGATGATGAGGATGATGTATGAATTTAAAAATATATAAGTATGTTTATCAGTAGTATATTATTTATAAGTATGGTTACCATAGTACTGGTTCTACCTAGTTTGGGATCAGACTGCCGTGTGTAAGATGTCTCAAGTTATTATTATTTTTATAAACATTGTTGGGAACGGTGGGAAAACTATGACTTTCGAACTTTGATCTTTATTGCAATAAATAGGTAGGCACTTCTTGCAGCTGGATGATAATTATTGGTTGTCTTGATACTTATTTTAATTAGACACCGCCGTGAACACGTTTTATTATCGCCCTTCACCTGTCAATTGCGTTTTATTACACTTTTATTTACAATTATAGTTATACAGAATAAATGATTTTTTAGTTAAACTATTGCTAACTTTGGAGTCCTCTGTACAGGCTAATGATAAATTTGACTGGCGTTGCTCATACATTTTTATAATCAAAGACAGTTTTTTTGATAGATACCCGTAACTTGTCAGAATTTCATGACTTCATTTAAAACTAAGATCTGGTATTCAGTATCAGAGACCTAAACGTAATTTTAGAAAATGCTGCTCTTATT